GCCGATCGCACTCAATTCGCGACAGCAGTGACGCTTTGGATACTGACGACATCGATTATCAGAGGTTTTCAAGATCCGACGAAGAGTCTAGGCCAAAGACGCCGCCGACAACCTCGTCGACCGCATGACCCCGCACCTGCTCTTGGCATCAGAGATCGGTTCCATAGTATGGAAAAAAATGGGCAGGATTCATGGACGTGGCATATAAATGTACCCTACGTGTCTCAAATCCAATACATATTGCCCTAGAAATGAGAATCGCCTCCCATAAATGGCATATATGGCCATAATCGGGGGTTTTGAGTTTAAACGTTGCGGCACAGGAGTTTAACCCATGGAGATTCACATATTATAGTAAAAGCAAGATGTAGATGTATTATGTCATGCAGATGTATTGCTAGGGGTAATCGGTCTAGTCGTGGAGGACGGTTTGGACGGTGTTGGAGATGACATCCGGGATAGGCGTGCTGCGTAGCACGTCCTCGACCATTGCCTCGTCCCAGAAGTTTCTGTTCGTGGCTAGGAACATGATGGCCTCAAGCGTGATGGGAAGCATGCGCTGTCTGCGATCAGAGTAGACGAGCTTAGCTTTGGAGAACAGGCGCTCCACGACGTTGGACGTGGGGATGATGTACTGGAGGTTGGAGTACGAGGATCCGGCGGATTCTTCGGATCTCTTGCGCTTGTTGCTGAGCACATGGAATGCTAGCATTCTTGGGTCGACAGGGGTCGTGTCGACGGGCTGCGGCGCACTGCAGCTGACCGGGAGCTTGAACATTTCGAGGGCATCGCATTCTTCATCCGTCATCAGAGACTCCTTCTTTCCTAAGACCTTGACGACAGCGGCTTCGAAAACCGGGCTTTTGACGATCGCAGCGTTCGCAGCCAGTTCCCGAGCCATCACGGGGTAGCGTTTGATGAGTTCGTCGAAAAGTTGTCGCACTTCAAGAAGGTTGATGTCGTCTTTTTGAAGCGCGAGAGTGTAACCATGAAACTCATTGCAGGCGATGATGAGTTGCTCGACCTTAACGACGGCGCCCGGCGACGGGATGAGGTCGACGACGTCGCGTAGGAACGGAAGGTGGTCCTTGATCGCCATGAAGCGCTCGAGCATTGTAAACGTCGAAGTCCAGCGCGTGGCGTTCTGGACCTTCGGTGCCAAGTGCGTATGCTGGCGCAGGTAGCCGCGGTTTTTGTTTGTCTTGAGGCGCACCATGAGCACGTGGATCGTCTGGATAAGGTGCTCGTGCTGCTGGAGGTACGCTTGGACAGCAAGGTTCAGGCGGTGGGATGCGCAGCCAACCAGGGGGATGTGGAGATGGTCGGCAACGGCTTTGTTGGTGGCGCAATTGTCCCCGACGATGAAACCCACGTTGTCGATCGTCTTGTTAAAGACGGTAAGCGTGTCCTGGAGAAATGTTGCGTTTTATTCGTCTTAAAGAAACCGATTTAAAGACGAATTTACGCGGATTTGAAGTCACCCATTTTTGTCCCTAAGCACCAGTTTTGCCATACCTATGGCCCCGTCCTTCGAAGCTCGCCCCCATAATGGCCATATTTACGAGGCCTGCCATACTTAGGGGTGAACAAATTATGGAAATAGTATTTCCAAACATTATTTTGGACCGATCTCTGCTTGGCATGCTCATCCGTACGAGCATTTCGGAGTGTACGCAAATACTACGTAAGTACATGCCCATGAGCAAGCTATTACAAGGAGCAACTCGCAG